TCTGAGTGCTGGTCCCAGTTCTGGCACTGATTTCCTGTGTGACCTTGGAGATGTCACCTTTCTTCCTGGCCTCTTTTTTCCCTCAGGTGGTTGGACTAAATGCTCTATTTTGGCTAACTCATTCATTCTACAAATGTTTGTTGAGTACCTACTGCATTCTAGGTACTGTTGTGATTGCTTGGACACAGCAAAGAACAAACAGACAAAAAGCTCTGCCCTGTAGAACTTACATTTTAGTGGGAGGGGGGACTGTCAATAAACAAGAAATATAATCATTAACTAAATTATGTAATATTTGAAAAGTGTAAGTGACTTAGGAAAACACAAACAGTGTAAGGGATATCAGAGTGCGGGGTGGTTGGAATTTGAAATGATGCTGGGCTACACTGATGAGGTGACATTTGAACAAAGATTTGAAGTTAATTGGAGTTAGCTAAGTGGATATCTTGGGAAAGAACATTCCAAAAGAGAGGAAACAGCCAGTGAAAAGGCCCTGAGGCAGGAATATGTTTGACAACCATGCAAAAAGCAAGGATGAGGGCAGAGAGGTAAGAGAATGGATGATGGGAAAGATCACAGAGGGCCTTATAGGCCCCTGCAGACACACATGAGATGCGTCGTTAATCTGCATGAGATGAAGAGCTGTTGGAGGGGGTTGCTTGTTTGTTCTAATACTGTATATCTTACAGCATTTTTAGGTTCATAGCAAAACTGAGCAGCAGGTACAGAGATTTCCTGGGTATTGCTGTCTCCAGACAGTCACAGCCTTTCCATTAACTGTATCCCCCACCAGAGGGTGGGTACATTTGTTACAACCAGTGAACTTACAGTGACACATAATCACCCAGCATCCACAGCTTACCTTAGAGTTCACTCTTGGTGTTGCACATCCTATGGGTTTGGACAAATATATAGTGATGTGAATCCACCATTCTGGTATCACACAAAATATTTTCATGGCCCTAAAAATCCTCAGTGCTGCTGGAGGGTTTTGAGCAGAGCAATGTCGTGTGATCTGCCTTTTGGGAATTCTGAGATCCTACTGAATTTGAGGAAAGAGTTAAATCGGCTCACATGTTGCCCATTTTGACTTCAGGCCTCCTGAATATCCCCAAGGCGGGTATAAAGCTCCCCTGCTTCCTCCTGGCCTCCATCTTTTCGCGCACACCCTGCGCTGGTTAGAATAGGCTGTAGAGTCCCATGCTTCCTCTAGATGGCAGTGCTGCCTCATGCACAAAGGGATACCTCCCTGTTGTGGAGTCAGCCAGCCCTTTCCCTGGAATCCTGTCAGTGATGTCTCTCAAGAACACAGAATCTTCCTATACACTAACAATGAACTAGCAGAAAGACAAATCAGGAAAACAATTCCATTCACGATTGCATCAAAAAGAATAAAATACCTAGGAATAAACCTAACCAACGAAGTGAAAGACCTATACCCTGAAAACTACAAGACACTCTTAAGAGAAATTAAAGAGGACACTAACAAATGGAAACTCATCCCATGCTCTTGGCTAGGAAGAATTAATATTGTCAAAACGGCCTCCTGCCTAAAGCAATCTACAGATTCAATGCAATGCCTATCAAAATACCAATAGCATTCTTCAAAGAGCTGGAACAAATAGTTTTAAAATTCATATGGAAGCACAAAAGACTCCGAATAGTCAAAGCAATCCTGAGAAGGAAGAATAAAGCAGGAGAGATCTCACTACCCAACTTCAAGCTCTACTACAAAGCCCCAGTAATAAAGACAATTTGGTAGTGGCAGAAGGGCAGACCCACAGACCAGTGGAACAGAATAGAGAGTCCACAGATTACTCCAAACATATATGGTCAATTAATATATGATAAAGGAGCCATGGACATACAATGGGGAAATGACAGCTTCTTCAACAGATGGTGTTGGGAAAACTGGACAGCTACATGTAAAAGAATGAAACTGGATCACCATACACAAAAGTAAACTCGAAATGGATCAAAGACCTGAACATAAGTCATGAAACCATAAAACTCTTAGAAAAACATCTCTTGGACGTAAACATGAGTGACTTCTTCATGAACATATCTCCCTGGGCAAGGGAAACTAAAGCAAAAATGAACAAGTGGGACTACATCAAACTGAAAAGCTTCTGTACAGCAAAGAACACCACCAAGAGAACAAAAAGGCATCCTACAGTATGGGAGAATATATTCATAAATGACAGATCCGATAAAGGGTTGCCATCCAAAATATACAAAGAGCTCATGCACCTCAACAAACAAAAAGCAAATAATCCAATCGAAAAATGGTCAGAGGAGCTGAACAGACAGTTTTCCAAAGAAGAAATTCAGATGACCAACAGACACATGAAAGGATGCTCCACATCGCAATCATCAGAGAAGTGGAAATTAAAACCACAATGAGATATCACCTCACACCAGTGAGGATCACCACTATCCAAAAGACAAACAACAACAAATGTTGGTGAGGATGTGGAGAAAGGGGAACCCTCCTACACTGCTGGTGGGAATGTAAATTAGTTCAACCATTGTGGAAAGTAGTATGGAGGTTCATCAAAAAACTAAAAATAAAAATACCATTTGACCCGGGAATTCCACTCCTAGGAATTTACCCTAAGAATGCAGCAGCCCAGTTTGAAAAAGACAGATGCACCCCTATGTTTATCGCAGCACTATTCACGATAGCCAAGAAATGGAAGCAACCTAAGTGTCCATCATAGATGAATGGATAAAGAAGATGTGGTACATATACAGAATGGAATATTATTCAGCCATAAGAAGTAAACAAATCCTACCATTTGCAACAATATGGATGGAGCTAGAGGGTATTATGCTCAGTGAAATAAGCCAGGCGGAAAAAGACAAGTATCAAATGATTTCACTCATCTGTGGAGTATAAGAACAAAGAAAAAAACTGAAGGAGCAAAACAGCAGCAGACTCTCAGAACCCAAGAATGGATAACAGTTGCCAAAGGGAAAGGGACTGGGGAGGATGGGTGGGAAGGGGGCGGATAAGGGGGTGGGGGGGAAGAAAGGGGGCATTATAGCATGTATAATGTTGGGGGGGCACAGGGAGGGCTATACAACACAGAAGACAAGTAGTGATTCTACAGCATCTCATTACGCTGATGGACAGTGACTATAATGGGGTATGTGGGGGGGACTCGGTGATGGGGGGAGTCTAGTAAACATAATGTTCCTCATGTAATCGTAGATTAATGATAAAAAAATAAAGAAAAGAAAAGAACAGAGAATGTTGGAGGGCCCCAATCACCAGGGACCCCCTCCAGCCTGCTTGCCCTTGCCTGGCAAGTTCTTCCTGCTTTCTCAGGCTCTCAGGGGTCGCCAAGGAAGGCTGACCCCAGGCCCGTGGCTTGACACGCTCATCTTGCCACTTCTGGGAGGGAATGGGGTAAGGAATAAAGAAAGGCTGGGGCTGTCCCCATTTCTCCTATTTATGTTTCCCTGTATTTGTTCTTCAAATCTAAATTGATATTCATTTTAACATTTTAAATCTTTGATGATATTTGGTCCTGAATACAAACTGAGGAAGAGAGGAGAAAGGGTCAAACGTGTTCTCGTCCTACCCACTCCAGGGCAGCACTGGGCAGTGCGTGCTGCTGCTTCAGGCAGAGACCTGACTTCCAGTGCTTTTGGAAAATGGTTGGACCTGCTTCCCTTCTTGGACGTAACCACCTTTTCTTTCCAGCTAGAAACAATGTACCATCTTCCTTTCTCCCTCTGCCTCCCTCCCTTTCTCATCTCCCACACATGTCACCAAAAAGTGCCAATTTTACCTTACATAACCTGACAAATTTACCTTCCCCCTTTTATGCACACTTTCATTGCCTTTGTATACCCCAAGGTTAGCAAATACCAAAGGCTAAAAGGGTCAAACAAGTGATATAAATGAGCGCAGAAGGCCAGTATATAAGGCAACATGAAAGGGTGGGGACTGGTGAACTGAGAGTATCAGTGGAACCTAAGAAACTGCTTCTCTGCCCTACCCTGTGTGAAGGCAGGTCCAATTGTGGCCAATTTTTAAGAGCCAGAAATCTGTTGTTGTTTTTAATATGAAATGTACCAAGTTAATATTGGCAATTTATTTTTTTTATTAAGGTATCATTGATATACACTTTATGAAGGTTTCACATGAAAAACATGTGGTTACTGCATTCGCCCATATTATCAAGTCCCCTCATACCCCACTGAAGTCACTGTCCATCAGTGTAGTAAATGGCAATTGATTTTTTTTTTAATGTTTTAAACTACGTATGGCAAACAAAACACATCAGGGGTTTGAATTCAACATGCAGGCTGCCAAATTTTGACCACTGGCCTGAATCATCATCCTAGCTAAGACTTGTGATGTTGTTTCTTCTTTGGTCCCTGCCTCTACCCTCTCATTTCCATCATCTTTGCTCACAGTCTCGGGAGCATTTCCCCAATACCCAAATCACAGCAGCTCATTCATTCCACTGCTTGACATCTGCTCTCCCCACCCGCCAAAAGTTATCCACAAGATCCAGTGCAGTTCAGGCTGGCTGCCAGATTTACCACTCTGACTCCAGGCCCAATCCACTCCACTCCACCTTTGGTACTTCCCCTGGGGCCGCCTCCACGCACCTGCATTCATCCTTTGTAATGCCCACTTACACAGGCATCTCCCCACTAGACTATGATGTTCCTTGACACAAGTGACCACATTTTATTCATCTGTGCATGTGTGGGGCACCTGCTACTCAGAAGGTGGCTGGGAAACATTTTTTAAATGAATTTAAAAAAAGAATGAATGAATGATGACTATTAGTCAAGTAGAACTGTCTTAAGGATGTGTATTTGCTGCCCCATTTAAACATAATTAAGACCTCAGCATTCATTTGATAAAGACAATTTTCTTCTTTCTCTTCACTGGTCCCTATCCCACCAGGTGCAAGGTGTGGGACGCAGACAAGCGCTCTGGGACCCCCCACCCCATGCCTGGCAAGCTGGCCTGTGTCCCAGCTGGGTCTTCTTATTGGGAGGCCTCTGGAGTTTCTGGGGCTTCCTTAATCCTCTTTCTCCTGGGTCTTGTTTTCTGCAGAAGTGTCCTCAAAGAATCTGTAAAATGGAAGGTCAGAAGCAGTTCTGGTGACATCACTAATAGTAAGAAAATCTCAGTCCACGACATTTGCGAGGTGTGGTAGGGACTGAAAGGAAGAACAACAAAATCTTATCTTACTTCCAACCTACTTATGCCTCCTACTCTTTCTCACAGGAACCCTGTGGGATAGGGAGATGGTATCACCCCAGTTTACAGATGAGGGATCTCACCCAGGCACAGAGTGAGGAACTGGCCCATCCAAAACCTGAGGCAAGTCAGGAGCACAGTGAGGACCAGACCCCACGCTTCCTGACCTCTGGCTTCGGACTTGGATTCTTACCCGCTTGTCTCTCAGGTTTCACGCCCCAGTTCCCAGGACTTTGCTGGACTGTTTGCAAATACCATTGCCATCTTTTTACTTAAGAACTGACTTACATAGTGCCAAAGCAATGCCACTCAGGTTACTTTTGCTGTGATTAACCTTAGCCCATTCATGGTGGGTCCCCCAGATAGTATGTGTTTTCTCATATAACATGTAAAGAACACAACCTCATCTCTAGTGTATCCCAGGAAAAAAGGAAAAAAACTTAACATAAATTCATCCAGACTTTTGATCTAAAGTCCTGTTTATAGACAGAGGAACAAGGTTAAAGGATGCCAAAAGGAAAAAAACAGCAAATGGAATATTCTGCAGAAAAATAGCCTGATCACTTCAACAGGTCGGAGTATAAAAAAGGGGGACTTCTTTAGGATAAAAGAAACATAAAGACATAACCAGACAAAATGCATGGTTTGGGAAAACACTGCAAAATACATCTTTGACTACTCAGAAAATCTGAATATGGAGTATTTACTCCAACAGTTAGAAAAAATGAAAATGTTGACGTGGGAGGTTGACATAATTGAGAAAAGCAAATTCAAATCAAAACCATATATATAACATGATCTCATTTTGGTTAAAATACATGTATTTACATGCATAAATACCATGGAAAGTGCTAGCACAATGATGACAATGTGATGTTTATGTTTTCTTATTTTTGTTTACTTGTATTATCTAATTTTCTATGATATGCTTATGTTTATGGTAATAAAATGTTATTTTAAGAGTTGCATGAGAGCCAACCCTCTTAACTCACCATCCAAGGCTTTTTCCTGTTACACCCTGTCCTGTTCTTCTCCAGCCTGCCCTTCCATTCACCTCCAAGCCCAGCCTTTCTGCTCTTTGCCTCTCACCTCTGCTCACATTTTTCCTCCCACCTCTCTTTTCCTTCTCCTCTCTGTTGCCTGTTCCCTTTCTTTTAAGTCTATCCCAAACTTACCTCCTCCAGACAACCTGTCCTACCCTTTGCCCTGTGGTCTCAGATTGCTCAGTTGTAAAAGGGGGGGGAGTAATAATATTCATCTCACAGGGATGCTGCATCAGGAAGTGAAACTGTGAGATACAGAGCACCCAGTACAGGGAGTGGCTGGCCCAAAAGCCCACAGCTCACTTTCCTCATCTGATTATGGACTGCTTGGCCTAGATCATCTTGATGGGCTGGCCTTCATTCCGTTGTATGTTTTACTTCCTCAATTTAAAGTGTAGGCAACCAGGCCATGGGCCCTCACAGAGCCGGGACAGCGCTCTGGGCCCCAGGAGCTGCCTAACCTGTCCCCTCTGCACCTGATCTGTTCCTACTCGTGCTCTCCTGTTTGGCCCAGCTGCGACTGGTAGACGAGGCCCCACAGGCTGCTGGCCTGCATGAGCCCCAGCTGCCCAACCTTCACAGAAACACCTGGGTCCAAGTTAGGACCGTGCTTTGAGGTCTTAGGCTACCTGGTTTACCTTCATTTTCTCCCCCAGTAGCTAAGCAAGAACAGTGAACTGTGACCCCAGAAGCCAGTTCCAGAAGAGTGAGGAGTGGTGGCACCAACTCCATGCACAGGGGGCACCTTCCTAGGTTCCAGCCTTGGCTGGGACTGAAGGGTCTCTCTTCCCTAAAACCCCAGCCTATGTCCAGGGAGTCAGGCAGCGCGATCATCACAGAGGCCAAAGCCTCTGGGAAGGCCATTCCTAGGCCATCTGGCCAGACTTCCTCCTCTCTGTGGAATGAATGCCTCCCTCAGCCCGCACCCCAGCCAGCACTCAGTGAGCTCCTACAGCTGCTTGGACACCTCCTGGTCCCCACCCATGGCTGCTAGAAATGGTCTCTGCTCTGTTTCTAGTCATATGGGAAAGTGCCTTCATTTTAAATATTAAAGGAAAAATGCCGGATTCAAGACTGTGTGTATCATGAGGCCTCGGCATGGTGGGCTGGGGGCAGGTATACAGAACTCTGAAGGAAACACACCAAAATGTTAATAGTCAAGTCCTCTGGGTGATGTGTGATTTTCTATTTTTCCCCTCTTCTGTTTTATACTTATCTGTACATTTCAAACTTTCTATAATGAGCGTACCTGAGGGAGGGGCATGAAAAATTGAAAATAAGTGGAGAAGAGGAAGGAAAATGAATAGAAAGAGGAACACAGGGACAAAGAGACATGGGAAGGAACGCGTCAGGTGCTGCTGCAAAGCCCCTGCAGGAATCGCGCACCCAGTGGGCATTACCTCTCCCGACGTGGCCCTGGGCTCTTGGCTCCTCCGGCAGGGAGGCCCCACAGTTGGGGGCCTGCATCTCGGACAGCCTCGCCTTCATGCTGCTGAGGTTACCGTGCAGCCCCCAAGCATCGCAGAGCTTGGGCAGATTGTCCTCCTGGCCAGCCATCAAGCAGCTCTCCAAGGTGTCCAAGGGGCAGGACACCACCTGCAATGGGGCCACAGTGTTGAGGAGAGTGTGGAGAAGAGAGGGGGCTACATTCCGGAGGCCCAGCCCTGCCCTTGTTAGAAAACTGCACCTCACTCCTGCCCCGCTAGAAGGATGGCGTAAGACACAGGTGAAGGAGAGGAAGCACCACAGGGACGCCCAGGCCAGGCTGCCAATGGCCCCTTCATGGTTCTTTATGTTGATACAGCCTCCATCTCTTTTTTGGGTTATAGTATCTTATGTATTTGTAGTGAAACAATGGTATTTGTTTTAAAGTCCTTTGCAAAATTAAAATTGAGAGCCTAAAAATATCTTTTGAAATTTTCCTGGCCAGTGAAATCTAGGAATCACTAAAATGGCAGTTCCTCATATTCAGAGGAAGAATCACAGAAATGATCCACCCATTCATGTTCAGAGGAATAAACAGAGGCCCAGAGAGGGAGAGATTCTGGTTAAAGCTGCACAGCTAGATTGGAGGAGGGTGGAGGAAGCAGGGTGGTGTGGTTAGAGCAGGGCTGAGCCATGTTAAGTAAGAATCCAGCGCTTCCCTCCCATTTGCTATGTGGTCTGGGTCACATTACTTTACCTCTCTGTATTTGGCATCTTCATTTACACACTGTGGACAGTAATTCTAATTACCACGTAGGGTTACTTTTGAAGATTTCATGAGGGAACATAAAGTCCCTGGCATGTAGAAATTGTTACCTATGATGATTATTTTGTGAGTTCGAAGTATGCTCTGTCAACCTCTGGGGGTCCCTGAAATAGTTTTTGACTTTGCAGACCCCCCTGAAAATTGGGATCCACTGAAGGTACAAGAGAGAAACCAATGGATTCAAATGTAACATAATGTGAAAAGTTCATATGAATGAAAAGGCTACATACCGTATGATTTCAACTACATGACATTCTGGAAAAGACAAACTATGGAGACAGTAGAATGGTTGGTGGTTGCCAGGGGCCTTGGAGGGAAGGAGGGAGGCATGAATAGTTGGAGCCCAGAGTTTTTAGGGCAGCAAAACTATTCTGTGTGGTACTACAATGGTGGGTATATGTCATTGTACATTCGTCAATGTGTGGTTCTACAATGGTGGGTATATGTCATTGTACATTCGTCAAAGCATATGGAATGTACAACACAGAGAGTGTACCCTAATATGAACTACAGACATTATTCAGTTAATAATGTATCAATATTGGCTCATCAATGGTAACAAATTACCTACTACAAGAAGTTAGTAATAAGGGAAACAGGAGGGGTTGGCATATGGGAACTCTGTATTTTCCACTCAGTTTTTCTATAAACCTAACACTGTTTTTATAAAAGCCTATTGAAAACGTTCATTAATGTAATTTCAGATTCCATATTGCAAGTAAGTAACGGCCGCTTACTGAATTTTGGTGTGATATCCAAAAAAAAAATCTGCTATTATCTGAAAACGCTAATAAAATACTCCTATTTTTCTAACATAATCTATCTGTATGAGTCTGGGTTTTCTTCATATACTTCAACCAAATCAATATATCCTAAGGGACGGGCTGCAGATGCAGGTTCAAGAGTCCAGCTGTCTTCAATTAAGCCAGACACTGAAGCAATTTGCAAAAATTATGTAAAACAATGCTGCTATTCTCAATAACTTTTTTGTTTTGGAAAATACTATTTCTCATAAAAATATGTTTATGTTAAAATGCAATGGACTTCTTGTTTTTATTTTTAAATGGATTAATAAATACATATTGTGAATATTTTTCTTTAGCTTTAATTTCTAATAGGGCAACTATCAATAGATATAACCTATATAAACAAATGCTTTTGGGGCTTCCCAGAGATTTTTAAGAAGTTAGAAATGACCTGATGCCAAAGCTTTTGAGAATCACTGTTTTGGAACAAAGCCAGGCCAGGCTCTGTCCACAGTGTTTGGAGCCTTCCTCCATGCTGGCTGTGCCCTTCTGCCTGGCCTCAACTGTCCCCACCCATGGCTCCCCAGGGATGTCCCTGCCCCTGCTAACATCAGGGGGTGTGTATGGAGGGTGAATAAATATTGAGAACCTGAAGCTGAGCTTCTGTAGGGAGAGGTAGGGGCAGAGGGGTCTTCCTCAGGCAGCGAGCCATGGGAAGGAGGAGGGGCACTGGTTATATCAGAGGGCCCTTCAGCTCCAGGTGCTCCCCCACCCCCAAATCCAGGAACACACCAGCCAGCCCCAAGCTGGGCCCGAATTTCAACTACATGACATTCTGGAAAAGACAAACTATGGAGACAGTAGAATGGTTGGTGGTTGCCAGGGGCCTTGGAGGGAAGGAGGGAGGCATGAATAGTTGGAGCCCAGAGTTTTTAGGGCAGCAAAACTATTCTGTGTGGTACTACAATGGTGGGTATATGTCATTGTACATTCGTCAATGTGTGGTTCTACAATGGTGGGTATATGTCATTGTACATTCGTCAAAGCATATGGAATGTACAACACAGAGAGTGTACCCTAATATGAACTACAGACATTATTCAGTTAATAATGTATCAATATTGGCTCATCAATGGTAACAAATTACCTACTACAAGAAGTTAGTAATAAGGGAAACAGGAGGGGTTGGCATATGGGAACTCTGTATTTTCCACTCAGTTTTTCTATAAACCTAACACTGTTTTTATAAAAGCCTATTGAAAACGTTCATTAATGTAATTTCAGATTCCATATTGCAAGTAAGTAACGGCCGCTTACTGAATTTTGGTGTGATATCCAAAAAAAAAATCTGCTATTATCTGAAAACGCTAATAAAATACTCCTATTTTTCTAACATAATCTATCTGTATGAGTCTGGGTTTTCTTCATATACTTCAACCAAATCAATATATCCTAAGGGACGGGCTGCAGATGCAGGTTCAAGAGTCCAGCTGTCTTCAATTAAGCCAGACACTGAAGCAATTTGCAAAAATTATGTAAAACAATGCTGCTATTCTCAATAACTTTTTTGTTTTGGAAAATACTATTTCTCATAAAAATATGTTTATGTTAAAATGCAATGGACTTCTTGTTTTTATTTTTAAATGGATTAATAAATACATATTGTGAATATTTTTCTTTAGCTTTAATTTCTAATAGGGCAACTATCAATAGATATAACCTATATAAACAAATGCTTTTGGGGCTTCCCAGAGATTTTTAAGAAGTTAGAAATGACCTGATGCCAAAGCTTTTGAGAATCACTGTTTTGGAACAAAGCCAGGCCAGGCTCTGTCCACAGTGTTTGGAGCCTTCCTCCATGCTGGCTGTGCCCTTCTGCCTGGCCTCAACTGTCCCCACCCATGGCTCCCCAGGGATGTCCCTGCCCCTGCTAACATCAGGGGGTGTGTATGGAGGGTGAATAAATATTGAGAACCTGAAGCTGAGCTTCTGTAGGGAGAGGTAGGGGCAGAGGGGTCTTCCTCAGGCAGCGAGCCATGGGAAGGAGGAGGGGCACTGGTTATATCAGAGGGCCCTTCAGCTCCAGGTGCTCCCCCACCCCCAAATCCAGGAACACACCAGCCAGCCCCAAGCTGGGCCCGGAAGGGGCTCTCCCAAGAGCCTTACCAGAAACTTGGCCAGCTGTTTGCTCTTGGTGTGCTTGTAGAGCCTGCGGAGCTGCTTTGCCTCCAGTTCTGAAAAGAGGGAGACAAATCGCCAGAGCATCCTGCAGGGGAGAAACCCACAGCTGAGGAAGGCAGAGCACAACCCCTCTCCCTCCAGCATTTGTCCTGTGGCGGGCACCCACCCAGGAAGAATGGACCATGCACTGCTGCCTTCTTTGTGTTTTGTTGGAGGCATAAAGAAATGGAGTTTGCCAGGCCTGGAACATCCTGTCCTGGTGATGAGCACCCCCACCACCTGGTAGTTGTTCAATCAGAGGTTATTCTCCTCAGGGTCAGGAGAGCTCTTTGCACTGTGTGGACAGCCACAGTGCATCATTGCTGGAGTGACTAGAGGATCCTGTTCTCTCCACCCCTCTTTACCATGCTCACTTCAGGATCCTGACTCTTTCACAGAAAGATGAAGGACTAGCAGATCTTGACTGAGGTGTGGCCTCAAATCTAGAGGGAGGGGCCCAGGAGTGGATGTGATGGGAAGGGCCAGGAGGCTGCCCTACTTCCTCCAGTGCTTGATTTCCCAGGCTTGGCAGTAGTGCTGCAGAAAGGCACTGATGTGATCCCCTAGGACCACCAGGCTCTGCTTCATGTACTTTAGCTGCTTCTTCTTGGGAACGTCCTTGGGCAGGTGCAACTTTCGCAGGAACTTCTTCAGTGGCCTCAGATATTCTTTACACTGAGGAGGTAACAGGTGAAGTGAGAGGCCATTGGAGAAAAGAAGAGGCAGATGGACAGCCCCAAGGAACCAGCAGGTTGGCTCAGCTGCAGCCCTTGTGGCCTAGGAAGGGGCACACATGTTAGATGAGGAGGTTCTAGTCAACCTCTTACACACTTCCTTCCTGAGAGTGTGGCAAGTGGGGTGGTGAGCTATGGGCTGAGGTCCACCAATCGCTGACCCAGGTCTCCTGACCTGTGTGGAGCAGGGACCTGGGTCCTGAGCTGGCCTGTTACTCACAATTTTGAAGGCATCCTGGCTGAGGCCCATGGCATGGCACACCAGGGAGACTCTAGCAGGGATGGTGCTGAAGCTCTCCTCTAAGTAGGGTATAGCTGCCACCTGTGGGGAGGCAGGGGCAGCGGTTGGCTGGGGGGCTTAGGCTGCTGCTCCTGAAGGGCAGCAGTGCTGGGCAACCACTGGTCCAAATGCCAGTCAAAGTCCTTCTCCATTTTCCCTATGACGTATTCCTTGACCCAGCCCTGAGGTGAGTGAACTCTGGGCAAAGAAACCCATTTTTGAGAATCCCGGCTGAGAAATTCTAGAATGTTCCCCCCAATTTCTTTGATAATAATTATAGCATAGTATACTAACAAATTTTGCAATGCACTTGGTAAACATTCGTTTTATTCTACCATAAATTCTGTGAGGTTAGATATCATTATCCCTTTTTATAGATGAGAACACTGAGGCAGCAAGAGATTTAAGTAACTCCTTGGGAGAATGAGCAGGGATTCATTAACTCATCCACCAAGCAAACATTTATTGAGTATCCACTTCCCAGGCCCACCTCTTTGTATCCCTAACCTTTAGCATCGTGTCATGCTACCTACTGGGTACTCAGAAAAACATGTGATGGTGATGGTAATCACGAGAAGGAAATTTCTGGGGAAAAGTGGAGCAAAAAAGGCTGAAAATTAATGAAGATGGAGTGACCGAAATAATACTTGAAGTCAGAGTGCAGGGTTAGATTGACATGGCTGGGTTTGCACCTGACCTTTTAAAAGACTTTCAGAAAAATGGGCATTAATTCCTGCTTGTGTTCAGGGGAACAAGAAAGATCCAAGCCCAGACCACCCTGAAGGCAGAGACCAAGAAAAAAGATGGGGGTAGATAGAGAGGGTATGGGATACAGGCTTCTCTAGGCCCCCGAGAGAGGGGACTCTAGGTGATCACCTCCTTTAACACACCACCACACCACACAACCATGCACGCACACACACACACACGGGCCCTTGTCTCTTCATAACCAACCAACAGTCACGTCCAGGAATACATGTCCTTGATAAATATCTGAATGAATTCATCTTCTCTTGTTCCTTTAGTCTCTTGCTAACTCACGTACCTCATCATTGTTTTCCTTCTCTTCTTCCTTGACTTTCCTATTCTCTGCTTTCCAAAACCGGCCCTCAGAGACTCTCCTTTTTCCCCTCCCTCACATCCCCAGCCCCCTCACCTTCTCTAGAGGCTCGTCCCCTTCACCCTCTCGCCCATCTGAGGCCTCCATCTCAGTAGGTGCACTGGTGGGCTCCAGAGTGGCACTCCTCATGTCCCCTCAGGCTGCTGACCTGCTGCTTCTGTGACCCAGGTGACCCAGGGACCGGCCGGGTTGGCTCCAGAACGCGGAGGGAAACCGTGGCAGCTGTCACACAGAGCCCTTCCCGACCCACCCGTTCCTAGGGTGGTCGCCGGGCCGTTGCCTGCCAACTGTGAGCTGGACGGGGGGCGTGAAGATGTGTGAGGCAGAGCTGGGACTTTGTCAGAGCCCACGGCCGGTCGGGATGGGCTGTACCCCTTCTCCCAAGAGAACTGTCAGTTGCTGTTGATTTTGAACCCTGGTACGGCTTGTGAGGTAATTTTCTCGCGTGAGTACCATTCAGGCCTCCCCCC